TTTTTACTTTTATTTATTTTTATATTACTCCATTTACTTAAGTTTACAATGTAAATAAGGAAGTACCCCCCATTTGGATTCAAATAAAAATACTAGAAAATCAAATTCCCACCAAATAAAAATATGAAAATTCCGTTTTAGTGCAAAATACGATTTAGGCTAAAAATGATGGCTCATTAAGTCAATATATACTTCATACTAAAATCCCATAAAATCAAGTTTTCTTATTTAATGTATAAGGAATAAAAGCCGCCAAAAATTATCTTGAGAAAATGATTATTCCGAAAAATCATTTTCATACTTAGTCAATATTGCACCTCTGCTAAAAAATTTCTGGATCCGCCAGTGCATGTCAGGTAACAATTCATTGATCAGATTCTATGGGGAAGATTAATTTCCCAGTGAAATTTATTTGCTTGGCTTCTAGGGCTACATGCATGATGATAGACTAAGCTGAACAAGGTGACTGATATCCGACGGATAAGTGTCGGACGGATCAACCTCGATGTATGTTCTTCTTGCAGTGATTTGATTCAAAGCCTCAGTAGGATGAAATCCGTCCCAGAACGCATACTCACTCCTATTCTGGCATGGAGTTTGGCCAGCAGCACATTGACCCAAATTATTCACTTGGCAGCACCCAACATTCACAACCTTGAAACCTGAAAACGAACAAAAAGAATTAATTAATTTGTTAATTAATGTCACTTGTATTAATTAAGCATGGTTAATTAGTCCCAAGAATTAATTTATTTGTACCAGCAGCTGCTGGGTCCCCTGAAGCCATTCCAAAGCTGTTGACATAGATGAATTTTGCATCGGTCAGATTGGTGTTTAGCTGATTGACTAGAGCTAAAAGCTTTTGGTTAAAAAGTTGGACCGCACTGTTCATATTATTCACACATGCGGACCCTTTTGTGCCAAATGTTGACATTGCATTTGGGGTGCAGCCAATTGGTCCCAATCCAATCAAGGCCACCTTCCTCGCTCCATTCTTGTACAAGCTCTGTTAAAACAATATGAAACAAATTAACAGTAAATTTTCAATTAAATATGATAATATAGTCTTTTTAAAAGCCAAATTAATAATTACTAACCGCTATTTGACAAGAATATTTATCAATAAGAACTGTGGCGTACTGTTCAGGATTATATATGCGACTGGTGTCATAATATTGAGGCAGGAAATAGTTGTTTATGTAGTCATTGCTGCCCATTCCCACTGAATATAAGCATTTGTTTAAATACTGCAAAGCCGATTGGTTATTTCCAAGTGTGGAAGCAATGCGTGAGACTGTGACTTGGTGATTTTGTAGCTGCTGATCTAAGCTGATACGAGCACCCTGCATGGAGGTTAATTTTTTTTAATTAGCTAGGGTTTGAATGTATATAATAAGTCATGTTATTGTGATTAATTAGTAATTACGTACCACTTGGAAGCCAGTTTCTGCTCGAATTCCTGCCGAGCCTGATGCGTAGTTCAGACCTTTTAAAATGTCTGGGCCTCTAGTAGCTCCAAATGATGGGATGGGGTTCTCAAAACCCAACAGTTGAGCTGTAATGTAAACATGTCATGGTAATTAGCCTCATTCCTGCATGCTTGCAACCGTACTTATAATACGGTCCACTTTTTATTTAAGTAAAACTGGTTCTAAATATGTGTTATCATCTGCAAACCACACGTATCAAGTAAACTTAAATATTTTGTAACCGTAAAAGTTTAAACCTAACACGACCTAGAAAACATATATGCCCATGCTCAAACCAATAAGCAAACAAAACAAGAGGAGAATATATGTGAACAAACAATTATAGCGAGCACGTTAAATTAAAGAGATTCAGAAAAGAGCGATGCAATACAAGACCTAGTATGTCAACTGTGGTCCGGCCATTGCAAAATCTTCCCGTCGGTCCTGTTGGAAAATCAATCCCGTAAGGTTGGTAGTTGGCGTTAGCAAAGCTCAGGAGGTTGTTATTATTGCCATTATCAGCCAATGAATCACCAAAAATGAAAAAACAAGGTACTTGTGGTGCTCCATTAACAAGACGAGATTGCGAAATTGAAACCACCAAAACAAGAATCAGGATGAACCCTAATGCTATCGCTTTTGCCATTATGAAATTATAGCAAAGCAAAGGAGGCAGGAGAGAGCGTTTATGGAGGGGAGCCAGTTTTGTCCTTTTAAATGAGATTTTGACCATCGGCTTGTTTCAGATATCAGTTTTGTAACCCATCAAAAGAATGTGCTGTGGAGGTTTTGATTGATTGATTACTAATTGGTCAACTCAGACTTGCCAGTTCATGGTTCGTTAACTACATTCTTATTTTATTTTTTAAGAGAAACAGAAATACCTAAGCTATTGACGTGCAAGCTTTCAGCATGTACCGACCCGACCCGACAACTTGTTCACTCGGGTGAGCCCTTTAAAATGGGCCATAATGGAAAAGAGATCATGAACGAGTTCATCCCATGCATAGGTTTTGAGCCAGCCCATGGTCCATTGACTTTTGCTAAAGTCCATCTAAAGGCCTAGAACTTCTTCTTTTTTGAGAGAAATATTAATCAAATAGCTAGGTACTACCAATAACCAAACTCACTTTTTTTTTCTTTTTCAATTGTTGGGAGGGAAGATTTGAACTTAATATGGTGTCCAAAATCGGAAAATGAAGTACCATTAGATCAAAAGTTAGTTGGTAAAACCCAACTTATCAACGGAAAAAATGCATATGATATGTGACAATTACATTCTTATCTAGCAACAAACATATTTGTTGATTGGATGAAGAAAAGATTTCACATGAATTTTATTTGCAAGGATTCTAGGCTTCTAGGTAACTAGATCGCTGAGACTTGAGGCTCAAGCTGTAGCTGAACTAAGTGACTGATATCCATTGGATAAGTGTCTGAAGCGTTATAAGCTGAGTAGGTTCTGCTGGCAGTGATTAAATTGGAGGCCTCACTAGGATGAAATCCGTCCCAGAAAACATAATCAGTCCTATTCTGGCATGGAGTTTTGTTAGGAGCACATTGACCATATTGATCCACTTCACAGCACCCAGCATCCAAAACCTTGAACCCTGAAATTATAAAACCAAAACCAAAACAAAAACAAATATTCAATTTCATACTCTCTTTTTTTTCTTTTTCCGAGGTTAAAAAGGGGAGGGGGTTTATCACACACACTGACAAGGTACCCTGGGGGTTTGAATCTCAGACCACTAGGCTAGACCCCGTTGGCTTCAATTCCATACTTAATATAGCAGAAAAAAAAAACAGAAAAAGGAGAGAGATTCAGAATTGAATTATATGTACCAACTAATGTAGGGTCCCCTGAGCCCATTTCATAGCTGTTGACATAGATGAATTTTGAATCAGTAAAATTGGTATTGAGCTCATCCACAAGAGCCACAAGCTTTTGATTAAATTGTTGGGATGCATTGTTCAATTTTTCCACACAAGAAGATCCATTGGTGCCATAGGTCTTAATTGCATCTGGGGTGCAGCCAATTAGCCCCAGGCCAACCAAAGAAACCTTCCTTGCTCCATACTTGCGCAACCTCTTTCAAAACATAATACATCAAGCAAATGAATCAAATTTTGTTGTTGTTTTGGTTGTTTCAATCAAATTCATTTAATCTCAATGAAATTTGGAAAAACAATTCATGCATTTACTAACCAGTATTTGCTGGGTGTATTGTTTGATAAGAACTTCTGCATATTCCTCAAGGGTATATTCTTTACTGGTCTGGTAATACTGAGGCAGGAAGTAATTGTTAATGTAGTCATTGCTGCCCATCCCAACTGAATATAAGCACTTGTTTAAGTGCTTTTTGGCTAAGCTTCTCTTCCCAAGTATGTCGATAATTCGCAAGACTGTGGTTCTGTGATTCTTCAGCTGTTCTCCCATGCTGATACGTGCACCCTGCAAGAGCAAATTTTTAAGTGCTTGATAATTAGACACTGGAAATTAACCTGTCAAATGCAAAAGTTAATCAAGTGATTTAAGTATATACAATTCACACCTTTAACTATTTCAGAGCCATTGGCATAAGCAAATGGTGGAATGTAGTTTTCAAATCCCAGAAGCTCAGCTGTAATGAGAAAATGTTCAATTAGCACAAACCAGTCTTGTGTTTATATCTTTTAAACACAATTAAAGGACCCCAAAATGCGAGAAACACTTGTGTGGAGCTGGGATATCACTGTTTTGCACTTGGCATACCATGATTGGCTACCCTTTTGAAAACAGAACATAAACTACAAAGTAAACAATCTTATCTCAAAGCAATTTGCATATTGAAGCAAAAACGAAATAAGAAGATGAAGGTAAAAAAGAGGTCCAGACCAAGCACATCAACTATGTTTCGGCCATTGCAGAACCTTCCTGTTGGGCCCTGAGGAAAGTCAACGCCATAGGGACTGTAGTTGACTTTGGCAAATGTGGGAAGCAAGTTGTTGTTGCCATTATCAGACACAGAGTCTCCAAATATGAAAAAGCAGGGCACCTGTGGCTCTCTCACCTGTAGCTTTCCCTGAACAAAATGTTGAGTGTTCAACACCAAATATAGAGCAGTTGCTACCAACAATAGTTTCATGCCACAAGCCATTTTGAACGCAGAAAACAGAAGAAGGAATTTGGAAAAATTATTTTAAGTCAAGATTAAGGAATGGAAAAGAATGAGGCAGAAAACGAAAGCCAGAGTGGCTACTTTTATAGGCTAGGATAATGGAACTGTCAGACTAAGAACCAACTGCATTATGAAAAGGCTTAATACCACAAATGGTGGTAAAAATCAGTCGTGTAGTTTTTATTGTTTTTAAATTACCCAAATGAAGGGGTATGATCATTTGGCGCTTATTGCACACAATTATGGAGACCCAATAATGAAATAGGTACAAAATAATACTTTTGCACGTGACGCGACGCATACATGAACTTCACCTTACACAAAATTGACGAAAATTGAAGATTTGACAGAACACCACAAGCAAAATTGCCTAAACCACATAGGCAATTTTAAGCCTTATGCGTAAATTGACATTATCAAGTTAGGTAAGAATAAATAACAAGCCTTGCTGTGTCTTGTTGGCAGAAAGAATCTAAATAGTTTTCTTGACAAACGGTAGCTGCAAGAGAAAGTAGCTGCCACATGCAGTGATATTAGAAAACAAAAAAAAGAAGTAAATCTTCACATGCTTCCTAGACTTCTAATTGGAATGTCCTTTTTCACACCAAAATATCACATGCATTCGATACTATACGCTAGAGAAATAATAGAATTTTTGGTAGGGTATGACACTTCCAAATTTCTTTCCACACCAGGCTAGAGATGTTATGTGATGTGTGAGAATTTCCTCCCACTAGCGCTCTATGTATTGAATGCAGTGTGTGGTATCCTGATTTAACTGAATGAACTCCATTGGATGTCGAAGGCCAAATCATATGCTCCGACATCAATTGAGGAGCATGGGTTGGAACAAGACCAATTGGAGCAATAATGACTCCAATCTGAGTGACCCAATTATGAGACCAAATGTTGGTGCTTTCACCATTCATAATAAGCCTTCTAGCTTTACTCATAACAGCATCTTTGCCACCTAAAATGCTCGACCAGATCCAAGAGGATCTACTTCCCAGCCAGCAAAGCATCCTTGAAGTCAAAACCAGAATAGTATCCGGTTTCAAGAACCGCACCCATAAAGCGTACGGGTTGTTGACTACACTGCAGTATATGCAAGTACTAGTAAATACATATGTGGCTCTGATTTATGCTGATTACATAAAAGAAAGTGAATTATTAGCTCTTATTATTAAAATAGTTTTCACGTTTCCCACATTGCCTGGTGCCTGTAGCCAAAACTAACAGGACGACAAACAACCCATAAAAGCATGCCCTACTTATCTTTGCAGCTAGCAGGCAAAATAACAGTCTTTCCAGCGTCTGCCGGATGCATGAAAGCTCCACGAATATACAATGAAATATCTTATTTTGTCTTCTCACACTCCAAAACCCTAGCTAGTAATAATGTCACTCTGAATCCAACCCTAGCTACCATTATATAAATGGTCAGAATCCCGGGACACATTTTGACACGCATTTTAGATCATTGGATTTAAACACTGTGAACGGTTGAGATTGGATCTGATTTATACACATTTATTTATTTTTTCAAACAAAATGAATATCTTTGGAAATATAATGTGTGTCAAAAAGTTAATCTAAAAGTAAAAAGTTGTGGCTTACATCAATGTTATTGTAGGATGTTTTGAACAAAAAAGTTTGAATTATTCTGTGTAAAAACGTGAACGGTGTGCCAAGAAATTTTTTCAAAAGCAAAGAGAAGTGATTGTCTTTCGACAATGACATGATATCACAGTGGTGGTGGGGATGACGCTGTGATATTGCAATTCACCTATTCAACCTACATCTATATACTGTATATATATGTTCTCTCTGTTTTTTTGTA